CTGGCTATGTGACCAAAAGAGATGAAAGGAAAACTGCCAAAGCATGCTCTCAGCAGCAGGCAGGGGTTTTCTCCAGCTGCGAGCATAGGTATGGAAGGGTGGACGGTCGAACGGCATCTCTCCTAGCTAACTTCCTAGGAACCCCAAGCTCCGCCCATTGCCCACCTCCTCCCAGAAGCCCCTCCTGATCCGCTCCAATCAGCAGATGATCTCCATCATCAGTTGCAGTTCTTGCTGTCTGTTCTATAGCTAACGATGGCGACTGCCTTTCCCTAATGCAAGCACACTCACCCAAAAGGGCAGTGTCCACATCCCCTGCTCCTACGTGACTCTCTGAAGGTGACCTGGCGTTCTCTCCAGTGCCCCCTGGCGGCCGGCTGCATTCTCACCGGGCAAAGTGACTGGGCCGTTTCCATGTGAGTGAGGAAACTGAAGGTAGACTGGGGGGAGGTGGGGGCGGGAGCCCAAATTTAACTTGAGAATGGACCTTCTTCTCCAACTGAGGTGAGCAATAATCAAAGATGGACAGGATCCGAACTGAAATTTAACTTCACCACCCAGAGTCATGTAAACTAACCTCTATCACCACTGTGCTGGCCTCCTACCTGACAACTGGAGGCCTAGGGAAGGGTGCCCAAGGGGACCTCACTTGGGAAACTGAAACACTGTAGACCAGTGTCAAGACAGGAGGCGCTCCTAAGAGGCCCTGGTGTCCCTCCCCCTCCCCCGTTCGTCTCTCCCACCCCGTCTCAGGCTGTCTCTTGCCCATCTTAGAATGTCACATGGAAGACAGCTGGCTCACTCTGAGGGGGAACTCCCTTCCTGGCCTGCGGCTGCTGACCCAATCACTCCCACATTTAGAAACAGTAATTGACCACTGTGGCCATTGGAAGGCCATGTGGGACTCTAGTCCCCTGAGATTTCCATCACTATCGGTCTTGCCTTCCTCAGACCTCCCACTCCCAAGGACAGACCAGTGGATGAAGTCCTCAAGTGCAAGATGCTGTGAGGTATGCAGTGACAGGACAAGGGGACAAGGGGACAAGGGGACAAGGGAGGGAATCCAGCAGGCACAGACTTAGGCTTGAACGACAGTTCTCTCAGTAGCCGGGAGACCTGGGCAAGTTTAATCATCTCCCTTGGCTTGGCTTTTTGTCTTATGGAAAAATACCTCAATACCTTATTCATGGAGCTGTTAGAGGAACATTAAAACAACGTAGTTACGCTTTAGAACAATGCCCGGCACACAGCGAGCTTGCAATAAATGGCAACTTAATCACCACCATCCTTTCCATCATTTATCCAACACCTTAATTATTCACAGGTTTCCAGAAACATGAGTTCGACCTTAAGAGATCCTCAGAGCTGCTTCCCTTCCCCTTCCAACCCTGAGTGGAATTCACTTGTCTTCACTGCTCCTTGTCAGCCAGCCAGCTCTGTGGGAAGTCAGCATGGTCTTCAAGCCTCTCCCACAGGGCCTAGATTCCCACACCCCTCAGTCATTCCATGACTTGTGTTGAAACCCACCTGGGTCAGTTGTGCCCGGCACCGTGCAGGTGCTGAGACAGACATCATCTCACTTGCCTGTCCACCATCCATCTGCTGGGGGACATTGACAATAAACACATTAACAAAGCAGCCACAGAACCCATGCTGGAGTTGTCTTGTTAAATCTGGCTGTATCTCTAACTGTGGGGTGATTCCAAGCTGCTCTGGGAAATACAGAAGCAAGGGTATGGCTGGAGCGTGGATTACGGACTTCCACAGAGCCCAGACCAATTTCCTCCTGCCCCTCCACCCAGCTTGGTCGGGAGCGCATGACCAAGACTTTCACTGGCTCCTCGCGAATGTCTACATCCTGTGAGGTGGGAGAGCATCTCAGTTACAACTGCCTACCTCTGCTGGCGAGCTCCTGCTGAGCCAGACTCAGCCCCTGGGCAGGGCCTGACCAGGCTTCACCACCCTCTGGTGTCCTGACTTGGTTATTCCCCTATCCAGGGCTGTCCCAATTTGCAAAGGAGCAAAGCACAAGGGTCAGCTGGCTGAGACACGAGTGAGTGCAGCTTCTTGCCAGAGGTATTGCTTTTACAGCAGCCTGCATGGTCTGCAGCCAGTAACGAAGGAATGAACGGGCTGACAGTCCATTAGCAGTGGGCATGGAGGAGAGCAGCTGTCAGCCATCTCACCTCAAGGGCTGCTGAGAGTGAAGTCAACAGCCTGGACATGCGTTTGGGTGTGAGTCTGTATATAATTTTTGAAAGACAAACAAAACAGGAGGGGAGGATCAGTCAACACAGCTGGGCTGTCACTTGGAAGCCAAAATGTCAACATGTCCCTTGTACCCTCGCTTCTCTCTGTTGCCAACCCCAGGAGCAGGTCTGGAAAGCAACTCTCCAGCAGAACAACCATATCACAGGGTCATGCAAGCTCCCTCTGATGTGATGCTGGGCTTCGGCGTTCTTGACCAGGGATCACTTGTTCTCTTGAATGACTCTAGTTCCAGGAAACTTTCCACCCATGACATGTTCTGAACACCCGGCTCGCATGAGTGTTCCACTCATGGCTGGAGATGCTCCTTTCAACGCAAGAGCTTAACCGTGGGGGTTGGGTTAAGTCCCACCTGCATGCCTTTGAACACACAGCCAGCCCAATCACTCTTCTGCAAGACAGCTCTCTTGAGTCTCCTCCCAGGACAATGTGGTTTTATGTGCCCTCACCCTTCTTCCAAATGCTTCTTGGACAAGATCCAGTTTGTTAATAACACCTTCAAAATATGATTCCCACACTGAGAAACGAAAATCTCTGCTGCAGCTGTTACCCATGCAACACACACACACACACACACACACACACACACACACACACACACACACACAGCCCTAGAAATGAACTTGCCTCCAAACTATATCTTCATTCTGCATTCCATGTACTGTCAAAGGTACTTCTGACGTCAAGGTGCACATGCTCTTGATCCGTCTCCACAATGACACTTCCCATAGTGGACAAGGTGTGCAGGTTCAAGCCCAGCCTATGAAAGATGGCCAACGCAGGGATGAGCAGGCCTTCTGCCCCCACATTCTGGGCTGTAATAGCCTTCCTCTTCATTTCGTGGATCCCTGTAACCTTCACCAAGGTCATCACTGTCTTAGTCTGAAGTTAGGACCAAATCCTGGGTGTGGCTTTGGTTATTACCACAGAAGTAGCAGATAGTGAAACAGCACACCCTGAATTCATAAATCAGCCCCTCCAGCTCCAGGCAGGCCAGCCCTGGGCTTGCACAGTCTCCTAAGTGGGCCGTTGTGCACAGGTGCAGCAAAGGTATGGAAGGAGAGCCGCTCTGAGCAGCGGAGGTGGACAGAGACCACAGAAAAGACAGTTCCCTGAACTGGGACAGAAGCGGGGATGGGATAGCAGGGCCCAGTGTACCCCACAGGCCCATGTACCTGTCAGCAGGAAGGGCATCCCGAACCCTTCAAGAGAAAGAGTGAACCCCAGTCCTGAGCCCCATAGCGGAGAGACAGCCTTACAGCTGGTGAATGAAGGACCAAAGGCCTAACTAAAATCCCTGACTTTGGCCCCCAGGAGAATGAGGGGTCCCCAGGGACCAACACTATAAGCACAGGAAGAGGCTGAGGTGACTGAAGTTGGATTCCCTGCTACTCACCCGGTGAGCAGGATAGTCTGACTCAAATGGCAAAGGTGTATGACCACGCAGCCTAGAGTCATTCATAAAACCCATAGGCTCTCGAATCACAGGTCGGCTCCTTCTCAGTCCCATGCCAGTGTCTGGGAGGCCCGAGCGCATCGATTTGCGTTTATTCACGTTCAATTGTCCCGCTGACCTACCAAAGCAGACTTCTAATTCCTGATTGTCCTAATTATCAGTCCTTCTAGAAGACCTTCCTTCAAAGTTCATAAGAGCTTCAATTTGGGCTGTTACTCCAGTCACTAATAACAGGTGTGGAAAGTAGCTGGGCAGAGGGCAGAGGGCAGGGCTCGCCCGAATGTGCTTCTGAAGGCTCCCTTCCTGCTGCCGCTGACATGCCGATCCATCAGCTCTCTCCCCTGGTGTGTGCAGCCTCAGGAATTTATCTAACACAGTGATATCCATGCCACAGATCTCTGCCTCATTCATAAGGATGTACTGTCAAACGCCTAGCTGAAACGTAAACCCACTCCATCTACGATCTGTCCCTAACCCATCAGCATGGTGACCTAGCCTAGGAAAAATGGAAGTAGGGGAGGGTAGAGGGAAACGAGGTGAATGTGGTCTGGCCAGCTGGCTCCAAATGGTTCCTGCCACCTTTCCTAAGGCACCCGTCCTAGGTACGGTTACTACTGCTGTGATGAAACACCATGACCGAAGCAACTTGGGAGGAAAGGACTTGGCTTACACTTCCCCATCACTGTTCATCAGTAGAAGACAAGGAACTAAACAGGGCAGAAACCTGGAGGAAGGAGCGGATGCAGAGAACTTGGAGGGGAGCTGCTTACTGGCTTGGCCAGCCTGCTTTCTTATAGAACCCAGAACCACCACCCAGAGATGGTACTGCCTATCATGGGCTGGGCCCCCCCCCACATTAATCACTAATTAAGAAAATGCCCTACAGGCTTGCCTACAGCCCAGTCCTACGGAGGCATGTTCTCAATTGAGGTTCTTCTTTCCAGTGACTCCAGCTTGTGTTAAGCCGACACAAGACCCGCCAACATAGCCCTTCAACACTGCTCAAACAGTAATCACCCAGATTCATCACTGCTAATGAGGTGCCCCTCTACCACACTGCACTGTCTCAAAGGCTTGGTATGAGTTTTTGTTTTGGAGATAGATAGGGTCTCACCGTGTGTTCCTGGCAGGCCTGGAACTCCCAGAGACCCACCAGCCTGTCTCCCAAGCGCTGGAATTTAAAGTATGCCCCACCACGCCTGACACTCCCTCAGCCCTCTGCACACTCCCACAGCAAGTGAAGCAGGAGGGAAGCAAAGAAACACAAAGCCACTGATGGATGTTTTCTCATATTTTAATTAACAAATCTACAGGAAACCTTCATTAAATCAGGAGACGTAATATAAATTATAGTGGCCTGTATATAAAATGTGGTACCAAATATGGCCTCTGGGGATCATATATAAAAATAGGCATTAAAATCTGTAGCAGAGCATGGTGTAGCAGCTGACACAATTCTGAGGAGGGTAGCCACGTCAGGCCTGGACAGTGAGAGCCACTGGTCCTCCAGGTGACAGTGGTCAGCCCCAAGCAGGGGTCAGAGGTGTTTTTTCAAAGGCAGGACCCTCAACAGCACCAAATGCCACAGACCTGGCATGCTGGGAAGAACAGGAAAGGAGCTCTCCTTTCCAGATTCCTGGACCCCATCCCAGCTCAGGAACCCTGGCTCTCTTTTAGACAAACCACCCTGACTGCAAAGGAACTCTAGGAAATTTTAAAATATGTTTTTCCCAAGAAAGTGACCCAGTGCCAACTCAAGGTTGTTTTCGGCAGGATAAAACCCTGCAGTGCCCTGCAGGTCAGCTGATCACAGACCAGCACAATGAGGTGCTTTCATCTCAGTGCAGATGCTACACTTCCAAGTGCACACAGGAGGGCGTGAGACACGGAGAGGAGGGACCCACAATTCATGGATCTTTCACAGGCGGGGCTGCTGGCTCTGGCTGAGTGGGGCCAGGACTCCTGCCCATTGGTTTGCACAGTCAACAGACCCTTTCTTTGTCCGTGCTGCAGCTCTGTGGATGGGGACAAGTGTACTTGACTCATGTGTTACTGTCGCCCACAGTCTGGGGACTGGGAAACGGATGCAGGGCAGGCAAGAGTAGACCGGGGAGGCAGCTTGGAGGGGACAAGGCCTGTGGGCTTTAAATGCCCAGCCCACTCCCACTTCAGGTCCCAATAATTAGTGCCGTCCTAGTGGGTTCTACAGAGGGAAGCGGCCCGGCGGCATGTTGTACTGAGAGCAGAGTGCTTGCCCAGCCGCCCCAGGCTTGCCTGTCTTGCTGCAGGGTGAGCTGACACTCTCCACACAATGGCGATGAGTGAAAGGAGAGATGAAGGGCAGAGTTGTCTGAACCACCCACCGCTAGGCAAAGAGCCGGGAGCCACATGGTTGTTAATGAGGGACTTTCTCTAGCAGGCAGCACATTCAGGGACAGGTGCTCCATGTTAATGGGACCTGGCACCAATTATTACCATCTCCTATGTGCCAAGCTAACAGGGCAGTACTGTGCATCATCACTGTGGTTCTTCTGGGACACAGCTCCTTCACAAATTATTAGGGCGTTCTGTTTAGAACAAGGGGAGAAGGCCCTTCCATCCAAAAGTGGCCTGACAACACCCTCTAGTGGAGATTATAAGTAACACAAGGACAGTAGGCCCAATTCATCTTCGGACACTAGAGTGGTTTCAGGGCTCCCCATAACATGGGAAACAAATCACACGCAGATTATCTTTATCAAGATAACCCTAACACATGGGGGCAGGCGCTGGCAGCCCATGCTGAGATGCTGAACACCCACCCTGGTGATCACATCCCTTCGCAGTCTCAGCTTCTGCACATTCTAAGGAGGGGCTGCTCACGCTGTGGTGGGAGCCACATGTCCCCTCAGAGCCTGGGCAGACTGCCCGCTGGTGCCAGGATGATGCCAAAGACGTAGAAGAGCCCCAGCAGGAGGTTGAGCTTGGCTGTCCTCTGAGGCAGCTTGTTGAAAGCCTGGCTGCGGAACTGCCTCTCAAGGGAGAAGGCCATGGGGATGGTGAGCAGGGGCAGCGCCAGGCTGATGCTGCAGTGCGTGGCCAGGATGCTGAAGATCAGGTAGGGCAGAAAGAGCAGCGTGTTGTAGAGCACATAGGAGAAGGTGGGCCCAATGAGGATGGCCAGTGTGACGATGCCTGCCTCCTGGTCAGACTCCATGTCCCTGGTGTTGTTGGAGTGGAGAATGGCCTCCGTGCTGAGGGCCAGAGGGATGGCATAGACTAGAGGGAAAATGGCCAAGGACCCCACCTGGACAGCGTAGGCGAACATCACAGCCAGAGGGCCGAAAGTGATGAGGATGATGAGGTCTCCCAGTGCCACATACTTGAATCCAATTCCTGCAGCCAGAAAAGCCAGAGAGGCAGTGTGAATCAAGGGCTGGACACTGAGGGGCTGTTCAAGAGATGACCGAGTTTGGTGAGAGGCTGTGAGGATAAGCAATCACTGTGGTCCCCAACGACCTGATAGACTCGGGCTTCTGACCTCAACTGCCAGGTACTGCCATGCCAACTTTGCCTTCTAGATTTTGTTCCCAAAACCAGTTTCTGCCACAAAGTGCCCCAAGCTCCTGGTACACAGAAACGACATAAGCCCAAGACATGTAAAAGGCTTTATGATCCATTGCACTAAACCATGAAGCTCTGCAGCCCTACCCCAGCTCTACAAGGCGGACCGTCCATCCTGCCTGCCGCCTTCCCCGCATCTGTCTTCCAGCTTGAAAGACCCAGTGACACACTATGGCATTTCACAACCTATACACTCCATATAAAGAAACTGCCACCCATATAATGAGGAAAACAATGGAAGTTATCATGCAGTGTTCCACCTTGATTCCCTTCAAAACCAACTCAATCCCTAGCGACCATTCTGCTCCAAAGCCTGCCTATAACCCCTCCTTCCAGCCTCCTCCACCTCCAGCACCACACTACATCCCAAGTCTAAGTCAGGGTCATCTTACTCAGGAATACTGCAACACCTTCCTAGGTGGCTCCTGATCTTGTGAGAACCTCCCACCCCACTCCAGTGTTCCTTTAAAACTCTGGGCTTGCCCTTCCTCTCAACACACAGTCAAGCCCCCAACATCCCTCTGTCCTTGGACTCAAAGTCCCAGCATCCCCAGCTTCCCACAGCGGGCTCCCCAGTACTTGGCAATAGGGCTGAACTGAACACAGAGCCACAGTAACAAACACTCTAACCTGGAACTGAGGTCAGGTTAAGAGTACTTCCCACTCAGACTGGCAGTATTGCCGTGTGATCGCCATGTGCAATGGCGGGAGGTGGCCAAAGAGATGAGCCAAACTGATTGCTACAGTGGCTGGGAAGTCTTTGGATCTAATGATGCTATAAGGCATGGCCTCAGAGTATCCCATCACATTTTAACCAGTCTAAAATGACAGATGACAATGATCTGCAGGGGGATCTGAAATCACAGGAACCAAGGACCAAGATCTGGCCAAATTCACCTTCACAGAAGCAGTTGTGGTCTCTGGCACCAAATGGAACACCCCTGGTTTTTAAAATGCAGCATTCCCACAAGGCATCACAGGCATGGCCCCCCAGTTCTCCAGTACCAGGAAGCTGATTCTACACAGCCACGGTATGCCCATGACTTGGTTATCTGAGGACATGTTCCCAGGAGGAAGTTCCCTTGAGAGAACACCAGCCCTGAACTCATGAGCCCACCCCCGACTCCCCCACCCCGTGAATACTGCAGGTACTCAGGAAGCCTCCTCCCAGGCCAGGCTAGCACAACGCTCCCCCCTTTTCACTCACAATCACTGACCTACACAACAGGACTCTGGATGGGGAGGAAGTGACCTTGGGCTGGATGATCCAAAGGCCCCCTCCTTCCGTTGCTTATGGAGCTTCAGCCATGAGCATGCTTCCGCAGACACTCAAGCCTTCTCTGCAACCCCCTAATTTTCTGCTACGTGGCTGTTTGCCTACCTCTGTTGCAAAAGGCATGACTTTCTCTCTTTCTCTTTTCCATCTCCCTTCTCCCAGCAGCTAGAGATGTGCTTTTCCCTGTTGATCTCTCTGACTCTAATAAAACTGTATTTGAGCTCCAAAACAAAGCAAAACAAAACAGAATTACAACAGAAACACGGCTCCCCACCTTAAGCAACTCCCCCACCAAAGCCAAGCACAAATCCACTCAAGGAAGGAGAAAGGTCTAATAATCTTGAGCTTATCTGATGTAAGAAAATGACAGCATTCTCTCAGTGTGTAAGACATGGCCCTAACCCTCCTGACTCAGAGATGTGCCCCACATGGGAATCTCTTTTTAACCACTCCCACCCCTCCCAACAGCACGTTCTGAAGAAGATAGCCCAGTGAAATACTGGGACCCTTCTCCTCGGAGCAGCCAGATTAATCTGTTAAGACCTACATCAAATAATTGGCAAGGGCCAAGTAGTAGTGCTTGCCTGTAATACTAGCACTTGGAAGACAGGGGCAGGATGATCATGAGTTTCTAGCCAGCCTGGCTACACACAAAGAGGCTAACTCAGGGAGGAAGCTGGCAAACGTGCAGAGCCACTTAGGTCTTATGCTGCTGTGGGAATATGAGCAGTACAAGTACTTCTGAAAGGGGTTGGCAGCTCTTTGTAGAATTAAACGTCACCCAGTGGAGGTCACAACAGTTTCATTTCCAGGCATTTACTCAAGAGAAATCAAAACAAATACTCATAAAAAAAGACTTGAACATGAACGCTCAGTCACAATAGAAAAACACAGCTATAACCCAAAGGTCCCTGAACAGGTGAGCAGAACACAGTGGGGTATGTCTCTCAACAGATGCTGTTCAACAATAAAAAGAAGCTGCTGACATGCATGACAACACAGTGAGCTTCAAAAACATCCCACTGGGCAAAAGAAGGCGGACTCAAAGTGCTCATACTGAGGCCACATGTGGCAGCCCACACCTTCACTTCCACCCCAGCCCTCGAGAGGCAGAGACAGGTGGATTCTGTGAGATGGAAGCCAGCCTGGTCTACAGAGCGAGTTCCAGGCTAGCCAGAGCCATATAGAGAAACCTTGTTTCAAAAAACAAAACAAACAAAACCCCCAAACAACAACAACAAAAACCAGAGTTCATATTACAATAAAGTCACAAGTAGTCCATATGGAATAGATTCCTGTACACGGTGCTCGAGACCACACAGAATTAATCTGAGTGAAAGAAACTAGAAGAGCAGTTACCTGTGCATAGGTGATGATGGATGGGCTTGGTGTGAAGAACCCAAGGAAACACCAGGGAGTAATGGAAATGCAGGGAGTACGAACGTTCCTCACGCTCGTCAAGTGTGGCGATACATTATTCATGATTTAATCAAGATTGCCTGACAGATCAGGGAAGCAAAGCAGCCAGCTACTAGCTCTCAACTCCACCTTAGGATGAAAGGGCTGTCCTGTATGCCCTGCTCCTCTCTAGAACTGGGATTAAAGGTGTGGGATCCCAAGTGCTGAGGACTCCTTTGTGTGAGCTGTCTCTCTTTTAAACTGATCCACTCTGATGTAACCCTGGGTAGCCTTGAACTCACACAGATTCATCTGCCTTTGTCTCCTGCCACTACTGCCCAGCTTCTATAGCTAACTAGTATGGCTGGCTTTGCATTCCTGTCACTTCAGGGAATCTCTATTAAATCATAAATAACGAAATCACCACAATTCCCCCTTTTTGTCTAATATAAAAAAAAAAAAAAAACACACTCCACTACATGTCATTCTATGCCAGTAAAAGCCAATGTTGAAAGGAAATCTAAAGATGGGCAGTGGTGGTACATACTTTTAATCCCAGCACTCTGAGACAGGCAGATCTGTGAGTTAGAGGCCGAGGCCAGTCTGAACTACAGAGTGAGTTCCAGGACAACCAGGGCTACACAGAGAAACAAGAAGAGAAAAGGAAAATCTACAGGGCTGGAGAGATGACTCAGTGGTTAGGAGCACTGGCTGCTCTTCCAGAGGACCCAGGTCCAGTTCCCAGTACCCACAGGGCAGCTCACAACTGCCTGTAACTCCACTTTCTGGGGATCAGATGCTCCTCTGACTCTGTGGGAACCTGCACATACCTGGTGTGTACATATATGCATGCAGGCAAAACACATGTATACACAGAGTAAAAATAAATATTAAAAAAAGACAAGTCAGATTATCTCAATACACGCCAATCTTAGTTGTTCGCTCCATGAGTACTTTATACGTGTAGCCTGATTTATGTACACATATGCAGTTGTGCTCACTGTTGTGCATGTCTTCTTCTATTACACTCGACCTTTTTTGAACTGTGTTGGGGGTCACTTGGAAGCCCAGGCTGCCTCTGCTTCCTGTGCTGGGATTATAGACATGTATCAACGCCTGGCTAACTGTATAATTTTAAATAAGACAGAAAGCAAAGCCTCCCAAAGGTGTCAGGAGTGACATGGGAAGTTAGAGTAAGCCACACAGATGGGAAAGAGCATTCCAAACGGAGACTGGCACCTGTAAAGTGCATACCTTGGTATTCCAGGTCCAAGAGGAAGAGGGCAGGTTAGAGCTGGGGAGGCCAGAGGTTTGCAGATAATGCGGCGTCCTGGCTGTCACTATAAGGACTTGGCCTTACTCTGAATGAGGTAGGTGCCACTGAAGAGTGTAAAACAGAGGGCTGCCAGCTGTCTTCCACTAACAGTGCTACTGTGGGTGATGACCTGGCAGAGCCTGAAAGGGATGAGGGCAGATGCAGAGGGACCATTAGGAGCTTCTGCGATGCTCCAGGGAAGACGGTCATGGTGGAGGCAGGACATGGAGAGGTGATAAGATCTCAGGTGGATTTTTAACAGAAATACAACTTGCCGGTGCCAGATATAACAAGAGTCCAGTCAGGCACAGTGGCGCACATCTTCTGTCCCAGCATTTGGAAGGCAGAGGCAGGCAGACCTCCAAGACCAGCCTGGTTTACAAAGCAAGTTCCAAGACAACCATAGTTATACAGAGAAACCTTGTCTCAAACAAACAAGTCGAGAAGGATGCCCATAGCTTTGGGTCTACAGGGCTAGAGGATGAAGTTATGAGTAGGGTTGGGATGCAGGTCAGTGGTGGACTGCCTCTCTAGCATGTGAACTGCTCCACAACACATTAAAAAAAGAGAGAGAGAGAAATGTCACTGGCAAACGTCCTGGGAGAGATTGACCAATGCTGGGTGTGGCAGGGGTGTGGTTCACAGGTAAGGCCCACACTTGCCATGCTGTACCACTGAGCAGAGCACTGGGTGCTCTTCAGTCCCCAGCATCTACGCCCCAAAAGACGTCAGATATGAGCCTGGAGTTTCAGAACCTAAAGCGTGAGTCACCAGCTCAACAAGTGAGACTGGCTATTGTCACCAAAGGAGCCAAGGGAAGAGCTCTGGAGGCTGCACAGTGGAAAGCTGAGGGCGATGGAAGCAGACGCAGCATGCTCTGGCTACAGACTGATGATCTGTGCCTCATTCTCCCTCTGGACTACACTGGGAGGAGACCTTTGCACTTCGGGCCCTTCGGCCAGGGCCGGTTTCATTTCCTTTAAGTCTTGGTTAAAATGTCACTTAATTAAGGAGAATGCCATGGTCTGGAGAATTCCCAGGGGCTGAATGTTGAAGAGTTAGTTGGTCCCTGGGCTGGTAGAATATTTTTATCTTTAATATGTATTTTTATTCATGTGTGTCTGTGTGGGTGGATGGAACACACGTGCAGTTACCTGTAGAGACTAGAAGACGATGCTGGACCCTGTGGGGCTGGAAATGGCCTGACATGGTGCTGGAAGTCAAACTTGGTGCAGCAAGTACTGTATCTGCTCCGTCATCTTTCTGGGCAGTGGCAGAACGTTCAAGAGGAGTAGAGCCTCGGTAGGAGGCCTTCCAGTCACTCTGGGGTGTACTTGGAGGAGACACTGGGACCCAAGGCTAGCCCACTCCGCTTCCTCTATTTACTTCTACACCCAAGATAAATGCCCTTTCTCAGCTATGGCTTCCTGCCAAAGACCAAAATACCACAGGTCAATCAACCATAAATTGAGCCTTTAAAATTAAATAAGCCTTTCCTCATTTTAAGTTGATTAACTCGGGTATTTTGTTACAGTAAAGGGAAGCTGACCAACAGTGGGCTTCGTCCTTCCACCTTATACTTTCTACCAGTGTTGGGCAGGCTTCCCTTATCAAACTTTGAGACAGAACTTGTACAAACCTTCCTGGTCAGTCTCTCAGTGCAGGTATTGCAAGTGTGGACCACTATGCTCAGCCTCTATCAAACTTTCTCTTCCTTTGTCTTGAGATAAGGTCTACCTGGAACTCACTATATAGACCAGTCTGGCCTCAAACTCACAGAGATCTGCCCACCTGCACCTCAACTTTCTTAATTGCCCCAAATTTACAACTGGCTGTCCGGCAACCAGAGTCTCTTGGTTTTCTCCCACTCCTTCCGCCTCCTCTACATGGTCCTCATCTTCCCCTCCTCTCAGGGTAGACCTGGTCCTCGGTGCTTTCCCACCCACTCTACTTTCCCTATGAGCCAGCGGCTCCCAAATGCCTGTTTCTCTAGCCCAGGCCTCCACCATTACCCATTAACCATTAACCAGCTGCTTTACACTTACCCACCTCCACTTGGAGCTCTAATACTAAGACGTTCAAAGTTAATCTCCTGACTTCCCTCCAAACACCCATTCTAGCCTTGCCCTTCTCCTGTCTGGCACGATGACATCAACTGTACCCTTCCGCTGCTCAGGCCTAACCTTCTGAGTTAAACTTAATTCTGTGGTATCTCTACCTAAGATCCAATCTACTGGCCAACAATGTCTACCTCCAGTCTATTCAGAACTTGCCAGCCTCACCTCTGTGGCCACCACCTTGATGCAAGCCACCGAACATCTTGCCAGAACTGCTCGAGGCCTCTGATTTGGCCTTTCTTCTTCCACCCTACTTATCCATCCCTAATACCATAGCCAGAGAGACTCTTTCCAGCCATGACGTCACACTGCTGTTCAAAACCTTGCAATGGTTCCTACACTTTAAAACCCAGAGGCCCAAAGGGAGGACCTGCCAATCAGTGTGCAAGCTTCCCACCCCTCTTCCTCTAGCTCCCTGGACTACCTCCCTCATGCACACTGTGTGGGTTTCTTCCCTTCCTCAAAGTCATCAGGCCCATTGGCATCCGCTGTTCCCCATACCTAGAGTTCTACTCCCGGACATCCACAAGCCATATCCATCATCTCTCACCACCTTCAATCTAGCTCAGGTGTTACCTCCTTAGTGAGGTCCCTGCCAACCAAACTACTTAAAATAGTCATCTGTGTCCCCTTCTCTGCACAGTCACCGTAGCGCTTACCACCTCTTATACCCAATTATGTGCTTCAATTAATGACGGGCCAGATACACAACGGTCCCAAGAGAATAAATCGGAAGATGACGAAAAGAAAAATGATATGTCTATGTAATGGTTTACATAGTTACTACTATGCTTTCTTATTATATGCTAAACTTTTTTATTTTGAGTGCCTACACATGTGTCAGAGTTTCAAAGACAATTTCTGAAAGTTGGTCCTCTCCTTCTACCTTGTGGGTCCTGGAGATCAAACTTAAGTCATCAGGCTTGGCAGTAGATGTCTTATCCACTGAGCCATTTTGCCAGCCTACATTGTGTTTTGTGTGTGTGTGTGAGGCCCCAAGAAGGTATTTGATCCCCTAGACCTGAAGTCAAGTGTGTTTGTGGGGTGCTCAATATGGGAGCTGGGAACTGAACATGGTTCCTCTGCAAGAACAGTAAGAGATCTTTTCTTCTCTCTCTAATGCAATCTAGTTTCCTGCATTTAGGGAAATCATTGGGGTCATTTCAGCACATCTGGAGTGCAATGGTTAAGACTCCCTCTAGGAGGGCCACTTTGTGATCATGGTATCTCCCCTACCGAGTAAGTGTAAGATTTATTTACTTATGTATTTTAGGTATATGAATGCTGTCTGAATATATATGTGCCTGCAAGCCAGAAGAGGACAGATCCCATTACAGATAGTTGTGGGACACCATGTGGTGGCTCGGAATTGAACTCAAGACTTCGGGAAGAGGAGCCAGTGCTCTTAATCAGAGCCATCTCTCCAGCCCCCCAAAGTAAGAGATCTTTAAGTCTAAGCCATGTCTCCAGCTGGTAAGTAGTGTTCATAATCCAATGCCAAACCCAAAAGTTTTCAAAGTATCCATGGCACGTACATTTTGGATTTCCAGTCAAGTGGCCTAATTTAATAAAGCATCTTTGACACTTCTACAATTCCTATGTAAAGTAGCAGTTTTCAGTTCAGGCAATTGGGACCTTAGAGCAGGAAACACACCAATTCTTACCTCCTGTGTAGAGAAAGGAGCCAGACAGGCCTCCAAAGTAGATGAGAGCCAAGTGCTCCAGTTTCAGAGTGGACAGGTAGTAGAGGCAAGCGGCACAGACACAGCCCAAGGTGTAGAGGAAGACTCCAAATCGTACTACATCCTGGGGCTCCAAGATTCGGTCCACCAGAGTCCTGTCATCACTCTTTTTGTGATCAATGCCCTTGGAAAAGTCATAGTAAGTGTTGACCAAATTGCCGGCCCCGTGCACAGCCAGGACAGCCACTGCACAACCCACCAACAGCCTGGGATCCAGGACACCCTGGGATCTGTAGGCCAAGGCACTGCCCAGGGCCACAGGGGTGAGTGAGGCACTGAAGCTCCAAGGCCTCAGCGCCAACACATAGGAGGCGCACTTCTGTCTCCAGGAACGCTGAGGAAGCCGGTCCTGCTCGGGCCAGTCGTCCCCCAGCGGCTCCCTGTCCCCGACCTTGGTCGTCTCTCCTGCCTGGATGTTAATCTTCTCCCCCGGGGCCTGCAACGCAGCCATGGGAGCTACACGTGGCTAAAGTCAGTTCTAAAAGTGAGCCACTCACGGGGACTGCCCCAGGACGAAGATAGGCGGCGCAGCCTGGCCTGACCTTTCTTTGGTTCCGCCCCGGGACAGGGTTTGGGAGGAGGCAAAAACAGGGGACAGCAGAGAGCAGGCCATGCACCCGCACGGGGTGGGCGGCTCGGCCCCGACCACCTGTCACCTGGGCGAGGCCTGTGGGGTTCCCTGTCCCGCACAACTCAAAAACCCGCCACGGCCCACGGGATCCAGCGGGCCGCCGGCGCCGCCATCTTGTGCATCGGCCTCAAGAGGCCGTCCGGAAACCCAGGCCCGGAGCGGGCAGGGCCGGGAAAAATCCGGAGAGGGGCGTGGTCGGAGAGGGGCGTGGTCAAAGGCCAGAGCCCCGGTTCAACAAATAAACGAAAAGCAGTTCAAGGATTTAAGGGAGTGTCGCTTTGCAGTGTATGTGACTGTTTTAAGACTCTTTGTGTTGGGCTTGGTTACCCCAATAAATACGACGTTGAAAATACGGTGTGATTCTAGAACTTGGAAGATTACAGCAGGAAGAAAGTTTAAGGACATCCCTTATATAGTTAAGTTCGAGACCAGCCCAAGCTGCTTGAGACCCCGTTCTAAAGAAGAAAACAGAGAAAGAAAAGTGGGAAGAGGGAAAGGAAGGGGAAAGGAGGAGAAACGGAACATCAAATGGAAGGGAATGAAAGAAAGAAAAGAAAAAGTGTTCATAAACAGAGAGCCAAACCGGGGCAAAAAGAAAATAAGGTGCAATATTATGGAATATATATAGCTAGCTGTAAGGAAAAAAAAAAAAAAGCTAAGTGTACTAATATGCAAAGACCTACAAGATATACTGTTTTTGTTTGTTTGTTTGGAAACAGGGCCAGGAGAGATGGTTCAGTGTTTAAGAGCAGTGTCTGCCTTTCCAGGGAACCTGGGTTCAAGTCACAGCACCCAGAAGGCAGCTCACAACCACTTCTAAATCCAGTTCCAGGGGATCTGGTGCCCTCTTCTGGCCTCTAAGGGCACCAGAAACACACATGGTATGCATTCATGCAAGAAGATCACAGTAGATATACATGCAGGCAGAATACCCATTCCCATAAAATCCAATAATAAAAGGATAGGGACCTATGTAGCCCAGGTTGGCCTAGAACAGGCATTATAGCCCCTAATAACCTTGAAAGTCTGAACTAAGCTTTCTCCAATGCCCTGAGTGCTGAGTTTATAGACATGCATCCACACACTTTGATGTGGTGCCAAGACTTCTGCACAGTAGGTAGATAATCTACCTGATATGGGAACTGAACCCCAGTCCTCTGAAACAACAGCCAGTACTCAACCAGTGAACCATCTCTCCACTCTTTATTTCAAGTTTTACATTTTAAATTAATGTTATTTATCTTTTCCAGATGTTTATGGAGATGGTGTACATGTGCTGAACCAGAGGACAGCCTGCAGGGTTAGATCCTCTCCATCCACTATGTGGGTTCTGAGGTTTGAACTCGGGTCTTCAGATTTGGTGGCAAGTGCCTTTATCCTGGGACATCTTGTTGGCCCTGCTCATTAGACCAGGCTGGCCTCGAACTCAGAGATCCACCTGTCTCTGCCTCACGAGTGCTGGGATTAAAGCCATGTGCCACCACTGCCTGCCTCCTCTTACTTTTTGACACAGCATCAAATGTACCCTGGGACTCAAGATCCCCCTGCTTCAGTTGTGCAAGTGCCAGGATTACAGTGTATAAACATTTGCAAATAAGGTAAAGGCTCTCCATTAGTCAAAAATGTTTTCAAATTATAAAACATTGGTACATCTCTTATATATTAAATTGTCTATTTTGAGACAGGGTTTGTTGTGCCCACATTCTAAACCCCAAAATGACCAAGAGACCCATTTCAATGCAAAAGCAAAGAGTCTTTTATTGTTTAACGAGTTAAGATTAACTCGGGCCTTTCCTCTGTCCTACATTTCTGCCTCAAGGTTTCTGGGTCCTTCTCACACCAGCCACTGTGTAGGACAGAGGAAAGGCCCGAGTTAAGGGTATGCCTGGGTGACCTGTCCTGTGCTGATTGTTATGGCCTGTAGGCCCTACCAGGGCGGTTGCTATGATCTGCACGTCACTGTTACATCACTTTTACCGTAAAGCACTCCCAGAGCCAGCCAGCTAACTTCTGACTGGTTCCTTGCCACGTGGCTTCCCAGTGACTAGAGGGTTGGGCAAGGCCAGGCAAGCACATGTTGCTAAGTCTTTTCTGTCATGGCTGCTATAGCAGGGCCTGGGTGAGGGTCTGATCCTTTCAGGTTGAGGAACCTGCCTGACTCCATTTTGAAGGCAGGAGGCCTTATGCTGTATTGTTAAAAATAAGTTTCCATTTACTGTAAGAGTTTAGTTGCTGTTTTTAGTCTGTTTCCTGGAGCCCGCCATGACTTTGATTTCTTTTTGAGACTACCCTGACCATCCCTGGCCACATGGTGTTTTTTGAGATTTCTCTGAATTTCCTTAGTGTCCCATTGTCTTTCTTCTGTAAACTTGCTTTCAAGGTGGTATGGCAGTAAACATAAAAGCTTATTCTTTCAACAGTTATTATGCAAATAATTTGTGGTAATATCTAAAGAAAGTATGTCTTCCTGGTGGGCAGTGGTGGTTGCATGCCTTTAATCCCAGCACTAAGGGGGCAGAGGCAGGAGGATCTCTGTGACTTTGAGGTTAGCCCGATCTACAGATGGAGTTCCTGGACAGCCAAGGCTGTTATTACACAGAGAAACCCTGTCTCAAAAAAGAAAGAAAAAAAAAAAGAAAGAAAGAAAAGAATGTATTCCACAAAATTCATTACATTTTAGTTGACATTCCCCCAATTTATTAAATTGTTTATTTATCTGGGGGGGGTTAGTTTCAAGACAGGTTTTCTCTGTGTAACAGCTTTGTCTGTCCTAGAACTCCAAGATCCACCTGTCCACCTGTGTCTGCCTCCTGTGTCAGGAGCGGTCTTTGCAGGGCTGCAATCGGATCCAGCCCTGTGGCCCCAAGTCCGTACCTGAGTGCGGGAGTGTGGATGAGGGAAAGGCTAGCTATAGATGAGAGAGAGAGAGAGAGAGAGAGAGAGAGAGAGAGAGAGAGAGAAGGTCAGGAGGGCAGATCAGTCAATACTGAAATGCCACAAGAGTTTATTTTTTGCCACTCTTATATACCATAACCAAAAAGGGGAACACAGTATCATGTATATGGGACAGACTTTTCTTCCTTACTCATTCCAAGGGTTCAGTAACCACACCTTAGCTCTAGCTTCTTGTTCCCTAGCCTAGAGGTCAGGAGTAGCCAGGAGTAGCCATACCTCAGATTCAACTTCTCCTTCCTTAGCCTTGAGAGTCAGGAGTAGCCACACCTCAGATTCAGGTCAGTTGTTATTTAGACGAAAACGGCTGAAACATCCTTATGTAGCCACACCTTTGACCTTTAGGTCTTGTGACTTGCTGACAGCTTTGAACTCTGTCCTTGTGCGAAGATGGAGTGCAGCCATCTTGATGGGCACCTACACTCCCGGGTGCTGGGATTAAAGGCATGGACCACCAAGCCCAGCAGCATTTCTCCAATTAATACCTAAGAAATGTATTTAAGATTATTATTATTATTATTATTATTATTATTATTTTAATGCTTTACCTGCCTACACACCAGAAGAGGGCATCGGATCCCGTTATAGTGTCATGTGTGTGCTACGAATTGAACTCAGGACTCCTGGAAGAACAGCCAGTGCTCTTAACCTCTAAGCCATCTCTCCAGATCCTTAAGATTTATTTTTATATATTGGTGTTTGCCTGCATGCACATCTACGCACCATGTGTGTGCCTGATGCTGGCAGAGCCTGGCACAGGGCGCCAAATGCCCTGGAACTGGAGTTAGAAGGGGTAGTGAACCATCCATCCTCTGAGTGCGAGTGGAAGACCACTTTGACTTCTCTCTAGCCCCGTCTAGAGTTCCTGATCTTCCAACCTCCACCTCCAAAGTGTTGGGATTACAGGCATGTCCTGCCTGTGGTGCTGGGGATTGAAGCCTCGACTTTCACACTTGTTGGGCAAGCACTCAAATGTATCGACTGGCCTACATCTACAGCTCCAGCTATTGGCCGAAAGGTTGTTGTTTGTTTTAAGGATTTTGCTTTAAAATCTTTTATTTTAAGTAGCTCCTTGGTTAAGTCTCTCGAGAATGACCTCACAAGTAAGGCAATCTGGGGGCAATGAAAATAAACTAAAAACTTTCAAGTGCACACTGAATTTTACAAAGGAGTCCCTCAGTAAACCGGTTCCCAAGACGTATGTCTTCTGCAGTAATTCGAGCGCGTCAGACACCCTTCTCAGCATCACGTCGGGAGCGGTCCCCAGCTCTTGCATCACGTCGGGAGCGGTCCCCAGCTCTTCCAATAGGTGGGCGCAGTCCCTAGACAGGTGCTCCACTCGGTCACGACTCCTACGGAGGGGAATCGTAGCAGCGACGTACAGGATGTGTGCGTGGAAGTGACCGAAGTCAACTCACCACCGATTGGCTCTCCGGAATAGTCCCAAGCTTCTTTCGCCTGCCACTGGCCACGGGTTTTGTCTATTTGAACAATCCCCGCCCCGCCAGAAGCCGGTCCCAGAGCTGCACTTTTCATGATTATTGGTGAATGCTCCTGCCCATCTTTGTCCTCTGCCAGCTTATTGGTTGTGAGGCTTGCGAGCCCGCCCTCCCTTCCCGGGCCCAGAGGACAGCAGGGAAGGCGGGTGGGTGGCGGGGCTGGGGTCCCGAAGCGGCGGAGCCGGCTCAGGCGGCGGCAGCTGAGGCGGTGGCCGAAGCCGCGTGGTGAGTCTGGGGCCGGCAGCCGAACACTTGCGGCCGGCGGTGCGTTGAGACTCACGGCCAGTCTGGGTCGTGCTGGGGGAGGCCTGGGAAGCCGCCGGTCTGGACCATGCAGCGTCTCCACACCAGCCCTCGGGGAGACACCCAGGCTGGCGGATCCGCTCCGGGCCTGCCGTGGCGCCTTTAGGTCTCTTACCTGGTCCCAGTCACCCCTTCAGAACCACGTACACACGGTGGAGCCTGCCCCTGGGAGCCCCAGCCTCCCACACCGGGGTCAGCCCCCTGCAACGCGCCGTGGACCTGTCGGCACAGACCTCCGAGCTGTGCGCGTTCCACACCCCCATAGCCCCCGAGCTCACGCAGTCTCTG